CATGTTTCTTGCTAACCAATTCTTCCCTTCTTGTTTTCATGTGTTGCAACAATGGTGGTGAGCATGGAGGAAAAAGAGGAATTCGGGCCTAGCATGAAGCTTGGAGAAAGAGGCCTTGAGAAGATGGAGAATGCAAGGAAACCATGGCTATGGAACAAGATACGAAGAATTGAAATTCCAGCCAAGAAGACCTCATAAAATAGCTTAGGTTTAGGAATTCTGTAAATTATTGTATAAACTTGTAATTTGAACTCAAACTTCCCCCTTTTTTTAACCTTGTTAGAAATCATTTTAAACTTGAATGAAGTACTTGAAATTAGCCCCAAAGAAATCTTGCACTCTCTTTTTGTAGCATGATAATGTAGATGAAATCTAGTTATGAAGATTTCTTTAAATTGTTCTTGTAACATGAATGGTGAAATTGGAGATTTGTAAAGAACCTTGCATCCCTTGTGAAGAAAAAGTGTAGCTTGAATATTTTCTGCAACTTTGAATGATGAATGAATGATGATACATGCCTTGAATTCAAATTCTTGGAACTTTGAATCAAAACATGAATTGAATGAGATTTTCTTACTTAAAAAAAAGCAAAAGTCTTCGTGGAATTTAAGATCCTCGTGAACTCATGAAAGCAAAATAATTTCTTTCCACCTTTTGAATTCCAAATCAACGCTTATCTACGAAATTTAAAAAAACATCTCATAGTCCACTACTTTTCAATATAATTCTTGACCAATGAAGACTTCTCATGAAATCATCTCCTTAAAAACTTATGGTGTAAATCGAAATTAGAGGCAAAAAAAAGACCTATAATATTCCAATAGAAACTGTAACTCTTTAAGCACGATTTCTTTTCAATTCTTGAAACAAACTTATAGACAACAAAATTTGTGACACATTGCAAGGAGAACCAACCATACATGAATCCATTCATCATAACTTGCGCTATGGCCTCAAAAATCCATGAAATATTAATACCTTAAATCATCCGAAGAAGAAATAAGCCTTGAAATGTGGAGATAGAAGTGACCATAAGAATCTTGAGTCCAATGATCTTATGTAGATGATTGAAAGTGAATTGAGATAAAACTCATGATAACACTTCAGAGATTATGTCAAGAAAGACGTCACAAATCCAATGATCAACAATCCCGAGATGACAATGCTTCTAAAATTTTTTTAAAGAAAAAAGTCACACATTTCAGTAATCAAAATGCACGCATAAGAACCAATGGGTAAGAGAACCTAACATTCACTGCCAAACCCTTCCCTCTCTCAAATCTCTTGGATTGGTTGAAAACACAAACATCTTCTATAGCTTATAAAAGAACCACTGGGAGCCACCTCAAACCATAGAACAAATGATACCAATGCATGTGCATGCTGATGATGAGACATGAGTCAACTAAGGTTGAGGGTAAATTTTGGGGTATGACAGTATGTATATGTTATAAATAAAAGTTTTAAATTTAATAGGGTTAAATAAGTTTTTGATCCCTATAAATATTGCAGTTTTTTATTTTTAGTCTCTCCCTGCCTTTAGGCAACGGTTTTTACAAAAAAACCGTTGTCAAATCCAACTAAAACCGTTGCCAAAACTCAGGAGGGACTAAAAATGAAACTGCAATATTTATAGGGACCAAAAACTTATTTAACACAATTTAATATTATTTGTTTAACGTTTTTAACATTTTAACGTTATGTTACTTATTTTTAGTATACAAATTGTTCTATTGGGTTAGATGGATCATCAAGAACGGAGAATTGTTATTAACAAAATAGTTTGATTTGCGTCCAAGAGATATAGTCCAACTAATTTGCGTTGATGTTTATTGTCATGTCTGTGAATGTCAAAACTATTTTTATTTAGAATTATGTTCACTAAGTACAAATGACAATATTTATAAGGATAAAAACGTAATTTAATTGTAAAACCCCTCCCCTCCCCTTGTGAAGCAAACATACATGTTGTTAAAAATTGCTCCCCTCCCTTCTCATCCCCTTATTTGAACCAAACATATATTTAGTTAAATTCTCTCCCCTCCCTTCCCCTCCATTCCCCTCCTCTCTATTAGATTCTCTCTCCTCCCCTCCCATCTGTTGAACCAAACAAACCCTTAGAATCTAAGTCACGCTTCCGATCCAGACAAGACCAAAGTCACCATATGAACATAATAGTCCACCGCTTCTATTTCCATATAGGATCAAGCACATTGTGAACCCAAAGTTTCACCGCTACTATTTCTATTCAAGGATCAAGCCAATACCCGGAGTTCCATCTTCCCATGAATGCATATACAAGTTACTCAACACATATGCAATTAAGATCATCCATAAACCTTAATTATCAAGCATACCACAATAATCCAACACAATTGAATTATCCACCATCTTGCACAAACAATCATGTTTCCAACAACAACAAGCAATACACAAGTATTTCCAATTATCATGCATCACCAATAACATATAACATACAAGCTATCACATGTTATTCTCAACAATCCATCCAAAGCATAACCTACATACACTAATTCAAGTAGCATGTAATCAACGAAATCGCATCCAAACATGATCCAAAACTCATCAATACAATTATTAGAAATCATATAAATTAATGATAAATCATAAGCAAGCAAATCCCTAAGCCAAACATGCATTAATCAAGAAACTCATTTTTCTGCATACAGCAAGGCGCGCTCAGCGACCCCCCGCGCGCCCAACGGCCTTCGCGTTATGCAGAAAAATCTGGTGCGAACAGCACTGCACCAGTCACTAAAATACATCCCAAAATCAGTTTTAATGCTTCTTAATCATCATTTAAACATCATCTAACATGTATACACTATATGGAACTTATCCATATCATCAAATCTAGTTTTAATCATCAAAATCCTCAAATTACAACTTCAATTTGAGACTTCAAAACCTAGAAATAGAGATACTCAATCCTATAGCATGTTACTAATCACTACCCAACAACATACAAATGCATAATAATGAAGATTCTCCCCCCTTACCTCTTGAAGATTTATCTCCCTAGGATTTCTTCTTCTCTTCTCTTCTTCTCCTCTTCTCTTCTCTTCTCTTCTTTTCTTTCTTTTTCTCCAAATGACAATTCTAATTATGTTTTCCTCTAACCCTTTACTAACTAGTAAACTCCAATTGGGCTTAACACTTAACGTCTTCTTATTACTTATATTCTCATAATTAGGCCCAATACCAAATAATCACATTTCTACTCATAAAATTCAATTATTCAAATAACACACATATTCAAATATTCATTTAAATCATCCAATTAAATTAATTATCACATAATATAATAAATAATAATAATTAATAATTAACTATTAAAATCGGGATGCTACATGTGACCCATATTGACCAATTTCTGGAATGATTGCTTCAGGTCAATGTGATCTTCATATGGTCTCCATATGATCGTTAGAATTTGCCTCTGATTAGTAGAGTCTTTTGATGAGTTGCCTCGAGTTAGGAGTGTCCTGAAGTGTTATGCCTCTGATCAGACCGTTGTTGAAATTTCCTCCATGCTAAGCATTAATTTACGGGTAAAATTATTTTTTTTGAGAAATAATTCTAATACAATGCTCATGCAAATTTTGAAATCGAAAATTGTTAAAGAAAAACAGATAAGGTGTATATGGTGGATTATTTGGCCATAAGGTTGGCACGAATGAATGTGTGAAAACACAATATGATCAATGATGATTTAACAAATATTCTGAGAGTAAATTTAACACAAATTCTACATATTTAATTAAACATATAAATAATCTTTTATATATATATATATATATATATATATATATATATATATATATATATATATATATATATATATATATATATATATATATATATATATATATATATATATATATATATATATATATATATATATATATATATATATATATATATATATATATATATATATATATATATATATATATATATATATATATATATAGTCCTTTTTATAATTTAATGGATTAGTTTCATAACAGATAGAGATACATGACATATCTAGCATATTGTCTTCAATCAAAGAAATGCTTTCCAAGGAGAATGAGGCATATATCCTCTTTGCTTGCGATAATTTATCAATCATTACATGTCCGAGCACCATTGATGTAAATTATTTCTGATTTGCTTGATGAGTAATTTAATTTACGTTCCTTATTTTCTGAGGTTGGTTTCAACGTTTTAATTAATTAAAGTTTTTTAATCAGAAAATTATTGAAGAAAACATAGTCGAGTCAATGGTAAGTTTATCAAAGATCCCAGATGAAAATACCACAGATTGCATTCAACATAAGGTGTACGAAAACCTAGTCTTGATTTCTAGCAAAGCTAAGAAAGACCAAATTATGTATCATTTGATTTATTTTGTATTATGATGTAATAATTTTGGAGCATTAATTGGAGAACATATTACAAAGTCATTGAAATTTTGGAAAAAAAATAATCCAACTGCATATTTGGCTTAGATTTACCACGTACCTTCTGGTTTAAATACACTTAACCTATATCCTCATATGTTGACTGTGTTTATTATCTTTGATATACCACTTGTTAGTGAAAAGGGAATGCTCTCTTAATTGATTTGAAAAGTTTCTTATATACAGTGTCAACTTTATAATTTTGTGTCTTAAATATGCTTCTGGTGATATGTAAATTCTGAAATGGAAGTTGGCAGCAGGACATCTTTTTAATGAAATTTTTTTATTAAATTGTTTTTTTTAGTATTATGCCTTTTTTATAAATTTATTTTGAAAATAAACCTGATCAGGTTTATTTTCAAAATAAATTTATAAAAAAAAGCATAATACTAAAAAAAACAATTTAATAAAAAAATTTCATTAAAAAGATGCCCTGCTTCCAACTTCCATTTCAGAATTTACATATCACCAGAAGCATATTTAAGACACAAAATTATAAAGTTGACACTGTATATAAGAAACTTTTCAAATCAATTAAGAGAGCATTCCCTTTTCACTAACAAGTGGTATAAGAATTCTGACTGATAATTTAACAAACACCTAAACATCAAAGATAATAAACACATCAACATATGTGGTAAATGGCTTTAGATAAAAATAAAATTTTACCTAAGCCAAATATGCAACTGGATTAATTTTTTTCCAAAATTTCAATGACTTTGTAATATGCATTATTCTTTGTCACATTTCCTAAGCCTTACAAATCAGTCCTTACAAAATCTTTAACTTGTCCTTCTGTCTCCCCAGCCAACAGTATAGCATTCAACATTTTAATGGTACAATCATTTACATATCGATTGGAGTTTTTTAAGTTTGAGCTTTTAATAATACCTTGTTCAATAAGTGCCATGTATGTCAGAAAATATAAAACATAACAATAAGTGTTCTCCAATTAATGCTCCAAAATTAGTAATACAAAATAAATCAAATGATACCTAATCTGGTCTTTCTTAGCTTGGCTAGAAATCAGGACAAGGTTTTCGTACACCTTATGTTGAATGCAATATGTGGTATTTTCATCTGGGATCTTTGATAAACTTACAATTGACTCGACTATGTTTTCTTCAATAATTTTCTGATTAAAAAAATTTAATTAATTAAAACGTTGAAACCAACCTCAGAAAATAAGGAACTTCAATTAAATTACACATCACGCAAATCAGAAATAACTTACATCAATGGTGCTCGGACATGTAATGATTGATAAACTATCGCAAGCAAAGAGGATATATGCCTCATTCTCCTTGGAAATCATTTCTTTGATCGAAGACAATATGCTAGATAGGTCATCTATCTCTATCTGTTAAGAAACTAATCCATTAAATTATAAAAAGGACACCGTACCATTGCAAACAAAATACATATAATAAAACTATTTTCAAACCTCATCGACGCCAAACCCCCTCTTGATGATACTAAGGGTCCATTCTAACCTGTTAAGAACAGAAACAGGGGTTGATTCACTCTTCGCATAAATATGCACTAACAAACATAAGGCCGTTTTCGTAACCTTGTTGTAGCTTTCCTGGGAGACTGATGCCATGTTACCCAAAGAGCGGATTATCTGGTATATAAAAAAACGGGGAACACAGTTGTTAATAGCATATAACCAAAAAATTGAGAAATATCAAACAAATGCATAATTTAAAATATCTTCATATAAAAAGTATAAAATACCTCCTCTTGCATTACAGAGTCTTTAGAAGAATCAAGAAGCACTGACAACTGCTCCACAGCACCATTATCTATCAAAACATCGACCGCTTTTGGAAACAAAGTCATATCCGCAATAAGAGATGCAGAGAGCAGCTGCAGACAATAAAAGGCAAAAATAGAAGGTTCATGATGAATGTTCACAATAAAATCAAGCTCAGGAAAATTGTAAATTCTTATGGAATGTTCACCATAAATAATAAGATACCTGAACTCCTAGATCATCACGTGTGATAAACTTGACCAAATATGGTACTACACCATTTTGAAGTGCTTCAGTGTAATGGAATATATGTCCTATCAATAATACTTAATGTTATAACAGTTTTTAATTATTAATGTGCTAAGAAATCAAATATATGAAAGTTTACCAATTAGAAAAGAGCCTTTTTAACTTGGAAACAGCTTTGAACCTCGTAACAAAATCAGTAGACTTGAAACACTTGGTCAAGTCGGCCAAGCCCTCATCCTAGCAAAATTGTTGAAAATACACATAATCAGTATTTTAATTAACAGTTAATGAGAGATTAGTAACAGCTACAATTATACAATATTAGCACACAGAAATACAATGTAAACAGAAGATTTTGATCACCGGAATCAAATATTACTAAAGATTTTGCCGAATGGCAAGAACATGGCCAGAATCATATATTGCATACTCAGTATTTTACTAACAGCTAAACATCAATATCAAGAAATTATCTATACGTCAAATGTCAAGAAAAGGGGATTTAGGGCTTGTTTTAAAGCTGAAATTATAGAATAGAAAACGGATATGAAAGATACTTACTGAAAGTTTCTTATAATTATAGGGAATGGCTCCCCAACATCTGCATCAATCCGCGGTTTTTTGCTGGTACCTTCACCATGTTTATTCAAATTATCCGCGGCTCGCTTATCCATGTCCGCGTAGCTGAAGACAATCAATTCAATCTCCCTCGCCGATCTTTCGGTTTTCTGCTGAAGATTATCGATCTCCCTCGCCGATCGTTAGGTTTTCTCCTAAGAAAATTGCCTGCTCACTCGCGCACTAAATTTCAATTTTGGGGGTTTGGGGCGTAGCTAAAGATCGTTCCCGCGATATATAACATTTCGCGTTAATAATTATTTTTCTAATTAAAATGTTAAAAAATTTAAGAAGTTTAAAATTTGAGTTTATTAATGTGTAAATGGGAATATATTATAATTTAAAAGTTCAGTTTGATTTAATGTTAATGGAATATATGGTGTATAATTTTTATAACCCATTTCTTTTAAAATTTTACATAATTCTACAAATAAATTTTACCCGAGAAGAATCAATTTCGCTAAATTTTGTTAATTTAACAATCAATTTGTAATTCATTAAATTTTAGAAGATTTTCAAATTTTTTATTTTAAACTATTATAAAAAAAATTAATAATTCAACTAAATCATTTATTTTTAACTTTTATTTGATAAAATATTAAAATTAATTTTTTGCTAAATTTTGAATATTATTTTAGAAGAATCAATTTGTATGTAATTTATGAAAATTTAGAATTTCAAACTTTTTTATATATACCTTAAAAACAGTTAATACATTGGGGTCCAGCTAGCAGCACCCAAAAAAACTATTTGACCTACAAACGAGTTACCTCATCACCTCATCAGCATTTGAGCAATATGCTCCCGCATCTATGATTTTATGTCGCACAAATTCCACAGCAATTTGATCATACAAAGCATGATTCCATTGTGTCATACATATCACATTCAGCCCCCTTGTTTCTTTGGAACACAAAGCTTCCTCCAAGCAACAGGCGCCTTTTTTGTGCTACTGACCTTACCAGTCCACAAGAAAGTTCAGGACATGGCTACAATTATATGGGTCACCCCTCTAGGCAGAGGGATGCATTTAAGCCAGTAGTTTGTGGTAGGTACCAAAGATACACTTTTGATAAGCTGGATCCTCCCCGAGTAGCTCAGTAAATGAGCACTCCAATACTCAAATGTTTGATCCTAGCACCTATTTTTCTCCACCAGACTAGTGCACTGACTATTATTAAGCTTCTTGTTGGACAGAGGAATCCCTAAATATCTAAAGGGTAAAGGGCCTTCAGCAAAACCTGTAATCTCTTCAATCTGCTGCTTAGTATTGCCTACTCCATGCCACCAAAGTAGACCTTGCAAGACCTTGCACTTACTAGGGTTAACATAAAGCCCAATGGACTTAGAGAAAGCATGGAACCTGTCCATAATCAGCTGCACAGATACAATATCACCCCTAGTAAATAAAAGCAGGCCATCTGCAAAACTCACATCTATAATGTGCAGCTTCTCACACTTCCCATGGTAATTGAAATCTGGAATATCCTTCAGATCTTTCAACTTCCTGTACAAATACTCCATTACTATAACAAAGAGCATAGGGTAGATGGGTTCCCCTTGCCTAAGCCATCTTTTTGTTTCCATATCTTTTGTGTACACTCCATTGATATTGAACCTATATGTTACAGTAGAAACAACAATCATCACCCACACAACGAATTGTCTAGGGAACCCAATTTCCTTCATAATTGTCTTCAAAGCATGTCAATCCATTGTATCATATGTCTTCCGGATATCCATTTGCATCATACACCTAGACATCCCATCCTTCCTACTATAGCCTTTAATCCATTGTATCATGAATTTTTTGGCCAGGCACAAAAGTTGCTTGACTCCTACTGATGATGCTACTCAACACTTTGCTCATTCTTGTAGCCAGCACCTTTGAGATGATTTTATACACAGTGGTGCAACATGAGATAGGCATATAGTCTCTTATAGTCTTTGCCTCAAAATGTTTAGGAACCAAAGTGACAAGAGTGTTATTAAATTTCTTCTTCAGTTTACTTCTGCTAAAGAAATCCATCACAACAGCAATGACATATTGCTTTACAATGCTCAAAGACTTCTTAAAGAACTTTGAACCAAAGCCTTCCACACCAGGGGATTTGAGATCTCCAATACTTTATAGGGCATTTTCAACCTCCTGCACAGTAACATGGGCTAACCAACATTAACCTTTGGTCCATAGTAAATTGTTTACTTCCCCTCATTGCAACAATGTCAATACCCTCCAAGGTTTGCTCAGCAGCGCCCATCAATTTCCTATAAAAATCCAAAACCTCTCCATCAATGTTTTCTTTAGTGGTAAGTGCAGTCCCATCTGCTTTACACAAATTTCTCTTATTGGTTCCTTTTTGCTTGCTCTTTATGGATGCATAGAAATATTAGTTAATCCCATCCCCTAATCTGATCCACTCTATCTTAGCCCTCTGCCTTAGAACCTACTCCTCAATGTCATTTAATTTGACCAGTTCATCAATGCAACTTTTCACCTGCACAATCAGTTGAGTATTCATTCTGTCTTGGATCAACAAGTTATGTGCCTGGGTTAAATCATTTCTTGCTTTCTCAATTTGATTTTTTATGCCAACTAGTGGTTTACTCAGTTTCCTCAAGGTGGGCTGCAGTCTCATTAATTTTGTCCACAAAACATTCATGCCTTCATGGGCTCTCCAGTTGCAGTTTGTCCCCAACCATTACCAACCTCAGAGGTATAACCTTCCACCTCAGTATGTTGAGAAATTGGAAATTTTTGTGTGATGTCTCTTGCTCTCCTCTTCCCCTTTCAGACACAAAAGTGTATGATCTGATATTCCAGGCTCAAGGACGTGAATTGTCTTATCAATGTTTTGTTGAAGCCACTCCATGTTTCCAAAGACTATCAATTCTAGATGATTCCTTCATTTTGTTTACTAGACTAGGTATATCAATCACCCTTACTCTCAACTTCAAAAAGCCGCGTGTTCTCCATCATGCTACTCAAATCAATGAACTCAGCTTCTTGGACAGATTTCCCTCCAACTCTATCTTGAGTACTTGGAACATTATTAAAATCACCCGTAATGCTCCAGTTCTGCCCTATGTTCTCAAGGTCTTTCCAAAGAATCTTCCTCTTTTCTAGCTTGTTAGATGCATAAATTGCAGTGAGCCAATTTATGGATAGACCCTCCACACTATACACCCCACAGTGAATCAACTGATCAGTTTCATTAACTTCCCTCATCTCTACTTTGTTACCTTCCCAAAGAATCCAGATCCTGTCATTATCATGTTTACTATAGTTATCTATCATAGACCAGTTTCCACCCAGAATCCTTCTACATTTATCAGTTTTATGTTGTTTTACTCTGGTTTCTAAAATAATTACAATCTCACGTCTTAGCCTAGAGAGACAGGAGCTAATCTCTCTATTCTTGGCTACTTTATTGAGCCCCCTCACATTCCAAACTATCATTTATCCTCCAAAGGAGTCGTTGTAGTATCCCAGGTCTTAGCCTAAAGAGACGGGAACTAATCTCTTTATACTTGGCTACTTTATTGAGCCCCTCACGTTCTAAGAGACTGTCATTTATCCTCCAAAAGAATCATTGTGGGTCCTTCCAAGTAGTAAATTCAAAAGGAGATTCTAATTTATAACGCAACTAAAACGTTAAATCCATTTCAGATACTTCAACTAACTCACCATTCATAATCAGCCAATTTTACAGCACTTTTTGCAACGTGTGCATCAATCATGGCCAAAACATATTCCGCAAACAATTTTGACAATTACTTTCGGAGACTTGAAAGCAATTTAATTCCTATATTTTCAATATCACAAATTAACATCGTCATTTTTTACATGAAAAAGGACGTAGGAATGTTATCATTAACATCGATAAATGAAATATGTATGAAACAAGGAAATTGAGCTTAACTCAGACAAACAAGAGCAGCGATTTTAGCGGCGTCATGGTGGATCTGCACACAAAGCCGAAGGATTGAAGTCCATATAAGGTGGTTGCGGATCTGTGCGTAAAGCAGAAGGAATTAGTACAGTACCATCGAGAACTTACAATATACATTGTGAATACCTTCTTAACTCAAACAAATGCGGTGAGCCTAGCAGCGTCGCCGCGGATCTGCACACAAAGCGCAAGGATTGGAGTTCGTGTAAGATGGTTGTGGATCTGTGCATAAAGCAGAATGAATTAGTACAGTACCATCGAGAACTTACGATATACATTGTGAATACCTTCTTAACTCAAACAAATGCGGTGAGCATGGCGGCGTCGCCGCGGATCTGCAGGCAAAGCGGAAGGATTGGAGTCCATATAAGGTGGCTGCGGATCTGTGTGTAAAGCAGAAGGAATTAGTACAGTACCATCGAGAACCTACGATATACATTGCGAATACCTTCTTAACTCAAACAATTGCAATGAGCGTGGCGGCGTCGCCGCGGATCTGCACGCAAAGCGGAGGATTGAAGTATGTGTAAGATGGCGGCGGGTCTGTGCGCAACTCAGATGAAATAAGAGCAGTGGTTTTGTTTTCATATGTCCTTAGGCATTTTTGTAATTTTGTTTTAAGGAGAGCGGGCTCGTTCAATGGTTTTGATTTTAGATATACAACTATTAAAAAATCCGTGGTATCATATGGGTCCTGTCCGAATTTCATATAATATAGAACTAACTTTGAATTGTAATAGATCATTCGTATATATTATTCAAATTTAAAATATTAAAATGATTTAACCAAAGTTCAATCAATTAGAAGAAAAAAATTAGTGTATCAAATTAATTTGCTTTCCATCGATAACATTAATGATAACAATATCGTATTTGAACTTTAGATATGAAACAACCTGCTTTCCATTGATGTTTTCAACTCATTAGTCTGCATGATAATTTGTGCAAAAATCAGACACCAAATATGCAAATGATTTATAAACAAAAACATTTGTGTTGTCGTGTACTTACCCATTAACAAAGCAATTGAAAAACTTCGTTGTATACAACATTTGTAGTGATAGAAGATGATACATTCTCATTATCATGTATTAAGATTTTAAGACAACTTTTGCTTGTAACTCTTGAAATGGCTACACACAATTGTCCATTACTAACAATTGTCCATTACTAAAAACAAGAGTAGGCAAATACAATTCAACGGTATCAAGTGATTGGCCTTGTGATTTATTAATTGTCATTGCGTTAGAGACAATAATTGGGAATTTTCTCCTAATCAACTTAAATGGTCACGGTGACTCAAAATGTGACATAGACATTCGAAGGATGTAAAAGATGTTATCTATGTTCTTTACAGGCATGACTAATAAATATAGACTAATAATATGCACTTGCTTTTTAAGCATTAATATGTATTTATAATAAATCATACATACTATTCACTAACTTCAATTATATAAGATTTAAAATATGAATATTAAAATTAACAATCTATAGCCAGTATCTCATAGATGCGTTCTCATCTACCCATGAATTAAGATGATTTAACAAACCCAGTTGAATCCAAATGAATTAGTTCTAAAAATTTATTAAATCTATTTTAGATATCAACCCATTTTTCCAAACCTAAAATATATGACAACTTCCGTCAAATTTATACTTTTATATTATATGTGATCACGTATACATGAGTTAACGAACTTCAGTTGAATCCAAATGAATTAATTTTAAAAATTTATTAAACATATTTTATATATTAATCCATTTTTTCAAATTAAAAATGTATAACATCTCCCGTCAAATTTCAGTTTTAAAACTTTTATATTATATCATATTTACATATTTTTTTACAACTTATAATGTATAACAGTTTCCCGTTAAATTACAATTATTTTTAAAAAGAACATAAAAAATAAATAAAATTTATAGATAAAACTATTGTATATTATTTTCTATATTTATTTAATGAATGAAATTTATTTTAGATAAATTTATTTTTTAATTTGTATTTAAAAATATAACTTAATTGTCATTTAAAACAGTACATTCAATTTTTTAACTTCAATTATCTGATATGTCATAGATACATTTATTCTACCCGTGAATTTATTTCATGTACTCAGTTGGTTAATATTAATATAATTACAATATATAATCATTTATCAAATTTGAATTTCTCATTTATAAAAATAATTTTAAATTATTCTCGTTTATAAAAATGAACGCGTGTGTCTATTTATAAAAATATATGAAACTTATACTCTTTTATAAATATAATTCTATCAATACTTGAATTTTTCCGGTTTATAAAAATATTTATAATTTATTCATGTTTATAAAAATTATTATAATTTATTTTTAGTTCGTAAAATTAATTATATTAATATGTAGACTTTTTCTCGTTTATAAGTGTCTTTAACCCGTGTGACAATTTATAAAAACATTTTAACTTAATCATGTTAAAAACAATTACATCAATATTTGAATTTTGTTCGTTTATAAAAATATTTGTAAGTTATTTAAGTTTATAAAAATAATTGTAAAAATAAATATTTATCATATCATCTTAAATTTATTTATTCAACAGTGATAAATATGTGTCTCTTAGTTAATTACATTTATAAATAAATATCGTGTATTAGTGATATATCTTAAATTTATTATTTTAATGTCTAACTAATTAAAATGAATTTATTATTGTCAATCAAAAATTATAATATTAAATAATAATATAATATTATTATTATATACGAGAAAAAAAATAAATTAAATCTAAGAATATCGGAAAATTTATTATAATATTAAATAATAATTTAACATTTATTATTAAAATGAATCATATATAACATTTCAAAATTATGTATTTATTTCTTATGTTTTATTATATTCGATTTGTAATAAATATTTTTCAGTTTATTGCAAATTTTCAATAATTAAATATTAATGATATTATATAAAATTAATTTCATGAAATAAATTTATTTAATAAAGTGTTATATAAATATTTAATACATTATATTATACCATTAATTTATATAAAATGATATTAACTTATTCCTGTTTATAAAATTATTGTAACTTTTTCCCGGTTTATAAGCATGTTGAATTCGTGTGTCAATTATTAAAATATATGTAATTTACTATTATTGATATAAATAATTTTATAAATAGTTTAATTTATTACATTTATAAAATTATTTGTAATTTATTCATCTTTATAAAATTAATTATAAATTATTTAATTTATTAAAATGATTGTATCAATAATTTTTTATTTTATCATAAATTTTTATGATTATCATTTATCATTAAATTTTCATGATTACCATTTAATTTTTTTTTATCATGATTACAATTATAAAGTTAATTTGAAAAGATTATGATATATTTTAGTTATTTCATAAACTTAAAAAAATTATCAAATCTCAATTGATTTTGTTTTGTTTTATTAACCTTTTTATAGAAATTGAAATAATTTATTTTAGGTCAAATAAGGATCTAAATAATTACAAAATAATATTTATTCTTACATTTATAGAATGATAAATTAAATATTTAAGATAAACATTAGAGTTCTTATTTACTTTATCTTTTATATATTTATAATATACTTTTTTTGTTAATTTTATTAACAATATATTTATAGTTAACAATACATCCTTTAAACTACGTTATTTTTTTCAAGAATATAAATGTAACCTTTCAAAAAATATACACAAATATATTTAGAAGTCGGTAGAAAATTTTATTGGTTAAATTATAATTCCATTCAAAATTTATTGATCATAAATTTTTGAAATCAAATCATGCATAAAAATAAAATGTATTAATGTGACCATTCAAAATATTTTCTATATATAATAAAAATAAATAATATTAATACCTCCATTCAAAAGATATATTTGTAAAGTTTTGATTTAATTTTTTTCATATCTTTATATATTCTAATGTATATAATATTCCTACAATATGAAACAGTATCAAAAGATAATAAAAATAAATGATAATAATGTCTCCATTCAAAAGATATATTGGTAAAGTATCGAATTAAATGGTACTCCAATATTTGATTAAAAAATTGTAATATTTGTTTTTAATATTGTATAAAATATATTAATTAGTCGTACTTTAAAAAAATAAATCGTAAATATTTTATTAAAAATTGTAATATTTGTTTCTAAAATTATAGAAATTAAAAATAAACAAAAATCAATACAAAATAAAAAATTTATTCAAATTTCACAACAAATGAGAATTATAATTTTGATTCAAAATAAATTAGAATTTTGAAGGCACATCAACACCAACTTGTAGGTTATTATCTTCTCTTTAGGGGAAACTTAGAGTAGTGTGTTTGCTAGAGGCAATGCTACATTCAAAAGAACTTAGAATTTGGTGTAAAATAAATTCCTTTAAAACATAGGCCAACATAATTTGCAGTAGAAAAATATATTATGCCAAAACTAATATTGATATGACATACAAAATATAAAAGCAATAATAATATACATATACATAATTTGAATCAAATCTTGTTAAAAACATTCTTCTATAGAACGAGAAAATGATCGCATATCAACGTTGGTTTTATCATCTTATACATCTTAGATAATTATCGCCTTGCTTATGGTTCTTCTGAAATTGGTAGTGAACTTCAGCAACACCCGCTACTCTTGAACCCTTAAAAACATATTACTTTAGAACTTCGGGTGAATAAGAGTCACATCCCTTTGACTATCCTCATGTTCATCAAAATCTCGTTCCTCTTCCAAAAACAGTTCCTCCAAACATTGCAATGAGACATTTGCATTTGCTATCTGTCAGAAAATACAATTAGTATATAATCAGTACCTGCCAATGAAAGCCATTGATATTCCTTGTGGAAGGATAAAATTCAATGGTTTCAATTTCCTAATCTTCAATTACGGCTGTAGATGGAAATCAAATGCTCGGGAAATCAAATCATCTGCACCATATTGAACATATATTTACTATTGTAAGGTTAACTATCAAATAACTTGAATGAAAATATAAGTTAACACTTGGCTTTGATGATGAATCACATGTGAAAATCGACTCGATTAAGTAGATTTAAAATAGTGGTCTCTGGTTCTGTTGTGGCAGTCTCTAATTCTTCTTTAGCAATATTTTTGTTTGTGAAATTAGAGAAGCAAATGGTCACTCAGCCATGACCATGGTGAATATTGGCACTTAAAATGTTAAGACAACTCTGCAAACAATAATATTATAAAGCATTAAAACTAAAAACAAACTGTTTATTTCTTGGGCATGATAAAAAGCCACGCCATAAACTTCAGGCCAATTTGAATTCATGGGAGAAGGCCGGTGACAGCCCTGTCCATCATTGCACACAGTGAGTTTAGGAAGATCATTGGTGCAACAGATGTCCTGTTGACCCCCATAAGCCGAACCACTAAT